CTGGCCTCGGCACCGCTTCTTTGAGGGCCCATGATCAGGGCGCCGGACAAAGTTCAGCCACGTCACATGGGCATCTGTGAACTCAGGCCCTGAGGCCTCGGGCAGCTGAAGGGTCAGAGGACAAGGCTGTACGCTGACCACCAGGCCCTGCTGGGTCCTGCCCCACTACCCCCGGAGAACAACAGGAATCTTAGAGCCCAGGCTGTTGGGGTGGGACTCAATGCAGACACAGGAAATAGAGCAACAGGGCACCGCAGGGCTCCCCTGGGGCTCAGGCCAGGGACCCGTGTCCAGAAGCCTCCAGTCTACTGCCATGTTGGGACCCGCATGGCCCTTCCTGCTGCTTTCTGTTCCCAGGCAGACAGGTACAGCTGTGTGCACATGGTCCCAGCCCTGCCTGTCCCGACAGAGGTAGCCCTGTCCTGTCCTGGCTGAGGCAGGCAATGGTGGACAGGAGTGTTTTCCAGAGTTGTACAAGGCTGCGGAGAGTGGGCACAGGTCCTGCTCTGTGCTGGGCATGCAAGCTGGTGGCCCAGGATCAGATGCTCCAGACATCTCTCGTACACCCCATTTCTGCACCAGGGCAGTCAGAGGGATAGGAGCACACCCAGCCCCAAAGTCAGGGCTGAGTGAGGGGGTGCAAGCTGGGGGTTGGTCCCTCTCTGTATCCAAGTCTCACACAGGAGGTCCACAAAGTGACCAGGAGCGCAGAATACACTGGCCTGGAGGGGGAGAGCTACTGCCACGAGGCCAGTGGAGCCCCGGCCACTCCTGGAGAGCCAACTGTCCAGGCAGACAGGCCAAGGGGTCCTGACCAGGTCTGGGGGGCTGGGAGGGCCAGGGTTTCTCCCTTCTGCAGTCCACCTGTTCCTCCAGTCACCACAGACCTGAGCCATGGTGTGGGGTCCAGGGGCAGGGGGGGCAGGAGCCCACTCTCAGCAGGAAGAGCGGGTGTCCTGACACCTGCAGAGGGCTATCCTGGGGTAGGGGTGGCATGGTCAGGGACAGCCCTTGTCTGCCCCCAGACTGCCTTGCCATGGCTCTGGAGGGGCAGCCCAGGCAGGTGGGGCCAGGCAGAGCAGGAACTGCCCCCCAGGATCCTCCCCCAAGCAGCTTTCCCAGAGCTTGCTGGCAGCCCACTCCCCTGGCAACAGGGCCAGAGGACTCACTCTCCTCAACCTGCCCAGCTGGAATATGGGGCCTCAGGCTCCAATGGGGCGCGTAGGCCGAGAGCAGCTGGGCTGGCCGCCATAGAGACGCCGGTGGGAGGCGAAGGCCAGGATCAAAGGCTCAAGGGCTGGCAGGGGGCCTGGCCCAGCAACCGCTGCATCACTCCAAATCCAGCAGCCACCAGGCCCTTGCTGACAGGGTCAGCTCCTAGACCCCCTCAGGGAGCCCCAGCCCAAGAGGGTGGAGACCGCAGGCTGAAGCAGGTGCGAGGCGCTCTCTTAGAGGGGACGCCAGGGGGGTAGGCTGGAGCTAAGGGCCTCCCAGGACCCGGCCTCCCTTCCCATGCCAGAGGCCATAAGGGGTGCTGGCTACTCAGCAGTGGGTCAGGGCAGGGCTAGCCTTGGCCACCCCGGAAGCCAGAGTTGGAGCACCAGATTCCAGCAGGGGGTCTGAGCCAGCTGCCCAAAGCACCTCCCGTTTGCAGTCTCACCGCAGGGCAGGAAGTTACTCAGGGCATGATGGTCCTTAGGCTTCAGTGGGTTCAATGTAGCCCCCACAGAAGCCCCTCCATCCCCAACTCCCTCCCCAGGCCCAGAGAGGGTCCCCTGATCCACACTGTTATGGTTCCTGCCCGAAGTCCCACCCCACTCTGACAGCGGAGGCGGGCTGAAGGATGGCCCACGTGGGCCCGTAACAGATCATGCATACCTTAGGGAAGCCCAGTAGCCCCTCGCTGCCCAGTGTGGTGGCGTTGGGGGCTATGGGGCGCTGGCTGGACTGCCGAGGCCTCTTGGGCTCCCGCCGGGCCCCGTTGCCCCCGAGGAACGTGAGCTGTGGCCAGAGGAGGACTGTGGCGGCCACCCAGGCCCAGCGCATGTTGGCTGCTAGCTGCCGGATCCGGAGCCCGCAGCGGCTCAATGCTGTCGAGTCCAGGCAACCGGAGGCACTCAGAGTCTGGGTGTGGGGGCGCAGTCCCGAGGGACGCCTGACCGCCACTGGTGCATGTCTGCACAGGATGAGCTGGGCTAGTGAGGGACGCACCCCCGATCCTGCAGACTCCCTTGTGAGCAGTGCCCTCCCCGCCCGCGCTCCCCTCCTCCCCAAGGCTGGCGGGCTCCAAGGGGGCGGGCTCACAAGGGAAGAACCTCAGCCTCCCAGGCTTGGGGGCCTGCCAGGGGGCGTGGATGGGGGCGGAACCCCACCGGCAGACCACCCACCTACCACACAGCTGCTGCCCAAGGGGAGAGGTTGTGCACTCCCCACCCCAGCCTCTTCACAGTGGGGCCCAGCGACTCCAGGCGGGACACACTCTGTCGGGGTTCACAGCCCCTTGCTATGACCTCACAGCCTGTCCCTCTGGCCCTGCTGCCCCAGGCCGTGGTCCTGCTTCTGTGAGGGCTCCCAGCTGGTCCCAGCCTAGGTAACCCTGGGGGGTTCCTCCACCAGGGGCCAGTGGGGCTAGCAGGGAAGAGACCAGTTAACCTCTAAGTAAAGGCATGGCACGCAGCTGCCCCTCCTCTTCTTGTGGTGCAGGCCCAAATCTCACTGAGGGGTTGCCTTCACCCAGCTGTGCCCCTTGGGCCCTCCAGTCCCCAGGCCTGTCCCCCCACTGGAGGTCAGCAGAAAGCTGAGCTCCCAGTGGCCGTGCCCCGCCAGACGATCCACTCTGGCAACGGAGAGCAAGTGACAATGGACAGGTCCCCAGGAAGAGCTGGGGCCCTTCCCTACCTTCCTACGAGCTGCAGGCAGCATGAAGCTGTGGCCAAGTGGTGTTGACAGGCCCTGGTGGGGGCCCAACACCTAAGACAGGACCATCCCCCTTCACCAGCTGCCCCTCGGCTAGTGCCACCTGGGGCTAAGGGTGGTCAGAGCTGCGGCTGACCTGCTGCTTGCAACTCAGACTTGAAAAAGGTGGGGTTCCCTGTCCCAGGGGCAGCACGGAAGACCGCTCCAGTCCAGCACCCGCCCCGCACTGGCAGAAGTCCAGCACGAACAATGTGGGCAGGAGACAGCCAGTCCTGGGCCACGTGCAGGGTTGGCAGCTTCAGGCAGAACCACCTCAGAGACAAGCTGGGGGGGACGATGTGAGGAGTGTCTGCCCAAGGACACCTGTCCCACTCCTTACTCAGGTAGATGTGGTCACCTCCCAGGACAACAGCAGCCAGTCTCAGTGAATCCTGAGCTCGCCACTGGAGCCTCAGCTCTCTCAAGTGTCCAGCTGGTGAGCCTGGTCTCAAGGAGGTCACGCCACAGAAGCCCCTCTGCACCTGCCCAGTTAAAGCCTTCACGTGACCCTGGCCAACGCCCAGCAGGAAGGGACTGCCAGACAGACTCCTTCCCTCCAGGCTGAGCACCTGCGTCCTGCTGGCCCAGAACATGTGGACACACCAACTGTGCCAGCCTCCAGCAGTCCCCACGGGCCCCAGCCCCCCGGCTGACTGGGGTCAGAACCAGAGGGAGCCTGCTCTTGAGTTGTCCACGCCTCCTGGCCATAGCCACCAACTGCCCCCTGGAAGAGGCTCACGTCAGCTGACCTTGACCCAACAGTGAACACCCCAACTCCACACAGGAGGACAGGACCTTGGGAGTCCCCATTACAGCCCCCATCAGGCTGCCCACCCACTGCCCAAGGGAAGTGTCCCAGCCTCTCAAACCAACGAGAGGACAAAGTCATCTCTTATTCAGGGTCACATCAGACAGCAAGCCGCCATGGGCACTGGGGAGTCTCTGTACAGCATGGACCTGCTCCCACCGCTGGCTGAGGGTTTTTGAAAGTTAAGATTTCACACACAGGAAAAACGCATCTGCTCAATGTTCTGCCTCCTGAGTCCCTCAGGCAACATGGCACACCTGGGAGGGGTAGAGACCTCCACAGAGATGCCCTTGGCTGGCAGTGGGTGGAGGGAGGCCCAGCAGAGCCACACACGCCGGCAGCTGGGCCCTGCAGCAAGCATAGGCAACAGGTCCACTGTTGGTCACAGGACGCCCAGCTCCTCAGCACACACAGCAGCTCTGGCCCCACAGGCCACCTCAGCACTGGGTGGAGATGGATTTGTGGTTCACAGACACCAAGAGCACAGAATTGAGGAACAAAGACAAAATGATTTTTTTCACAGGAGTGGGTCAAATACACAGAAGTGGTAAATCAAAGAGCAATTTTAAGTTGATCAAAAAACAAAGAACGCCGAAGATGCATCAGTGCCCAGCTACACACAGTGAAGTCACCACCTGCTGCCTGGTGGCCCCCAGGCACAGCACCTTCCAAACACTAACTATGCAGGTGACATCATTAAGCAGAGACATAGAGGAGGAAGATGTTGGCAATTTAGGGAGTCATAGATCCTAAGCCTGAGAGGGTGCTCACCAGCCTTGCCCCTGAACCCAGCCATCCATCCCTCCTTCCCAGGCAGCCAGCCTCTAGGAACCAGACATGGATCTGCTGTGAAAGGAACTTGGAGCCTGTCTCCAGGGCAAACAAAGTTCTGGACCACAAGTGCGGAGCCTGTGGAGCAGGTGAGACCCAGGGAATGGGCTGAGGCTCTCCTGCTACCAGCGCAGCACATGGAAAGCTGCAGGTGTGAAGGGAAGAGGGCAGTGTGGCCAGCTGGGCAAGACACACAGCTCAGCCTCAGTGAGAAAGCAGATTTTCAACTTCAGCACAACAGCCCGTGTGCTTCCCCAAGAGAAACCTGCTCATTTCTAGTGAACACAAGCATGTCTTAAACACTAAGGCCAGACAGAGCCCACACCCCCTGACCCACCCTTGGCCACCTGCCAGGCCCCAGCCCTGCCTGCCGGGTCAGAGTTCTGCACTAAGAACACACGCAGAGTGTTGGATAGGCATCGAGTTTTATATTTTTAAGTGACCAAATCTAATAAAATGAAAAACAGGTTACTAAAACAGGTCCAAAAGACAATACGGGAGATTAGCTATAAAACCAAAGCGTGAGGCCTCCTCGTGGATATGGAGCCCCGCAGCCCCTGCCGAATGCCATGGCGAGCATGGGGGCTGGGGATCTCATGTTTCCTCCAAATCCAAACTACACGCTTTGGTTCTTGTTTTCCTTTTAAAGGTTTTTAAAAAGCTAACCCCAGGAGTCAGCCAGGCCCGCCCTGTGCTCAGCGGCACGTCCAGCTAGCCCACGTCGAGCTCGGGCCCAGCGTCCTGTGTGTCCGACCCCTCTGCTGGTCGTGGTGGTGGCTCACTCCTGCGCTATGCTCCTCAGCACGTACTTGACCGTGTAGGCGAAGGCCGCAAACCCAACTATAACAAACAAGTTCGCCAGGGCCCCGCCCAGGAGTCCATGGTGCCGGTTGGCCTGCTGGAGCCCCGCCAGGTGCGGCCCGGCCCCCGGCGCGTGCCCATTGAGGAGAGGGAGCCCGTGCTGGCCATGGTGCGTCTCCCCATCTGGAACCACGTCTGGTAAGGGGAGAGCCTGGGGTCTGCTACTGAGTTCGTCTTGTGCTTTCTGTTTTTGCTTAATTTCCTAAGAGAAAAACAGCAAGAAACAAGGGTTGGTTTAAACAAGCCAGTTCCTTCAGTGCCTAGGAGGGGACTACAGTATACCACAGAGACCCTGCAGGGTCAGTGGTCTCCAGCTGCACCCATTTCATCCTGACAACTGTCCTAGAAGGTTGAGCTGCTGCTAATCCTAACAGACACAAGGACCTATGGGAACAGCCAGAATCACCATGCCTGTGCCTCAGGGACTGGGACTGAGCCAGGTCCGAGCTGCTCTGACCCACCAGGGCCCCAGCGTCCATGCAGCCCAGCCTCCCCTGCTCACAGCCACATTCTCTGCTCTGGCACCAAGACCAGGGAGTATGCCCACCCCTCACTCTTGGCCACCTGTGACCTCAGCAGGCCTTTCCCTGACCTGCCCCTATCTCCGACTCACCCTTCAGCCCCAAGGTGCCCCAAGGAGAGGGGCAGGTCTGCAGCACCTGCCTGTTTGCACCTCAGTTCCCCTCTCCATATTTGTAGCACAAGAACACACAGGAATACATTCTTTTGGAAAAAATAGAATCAAAGTGTTCCTGACTTGGGAAAGCAAACCCAATGGCAAACTCACTTTCTTACCTCCACAACTTCAGGAAATAATTCACAAAACACTTTGTCTTTTAAATTAAACACTAAACTTTGTGCAGCCAGTTGTCTTTTCTAGGAAGAAAAAGAAGGAAAATGTCAGCCTGATGGCTTATTTCAGTTCCTTCATGTTCCAGAAGCAGACTAAGGGACAGCTGAGCGACTAGTGTCTTCATGTTGTGGAAAGCAGTCCACAGCGTGCTCCTCAGGACAGACTGACATGGAGTCTCCCAAGGTCGTTTTTACCTTTCTGTATCATCAACTGATTTTAGACTTGATGCCAACTAATAACGGAGGAGTCCCTGTCCTAACTGGGCTGAGGAGACCAAGCGTCCTCCCTTACCCCCGCCAAGCTCACCGTGAAGTCTGATGTCTCGATGCTGCCCAGGGTGGGGCCCTTCTCCACCATAAAGCTGAGAAGCCCCGTCAGGATGGTGGAGACGGACCAGGCTGGGTTCCATGTGTCTGGGTGGAAATCCGTGATAGAAAGACACAGCCTGAAAAAGGGACCCAGTCAACAGGGCACAGGTTCCTCAGGACCCCAGTCCGGCATCCAAACGCACAGGGATGTCTTACCTTGTATTGCACTTAAATCTTCCATTGGGAGTTATCATATAAATACTAGGAGGTTTAAAAGGAAATTCTCTGGGAAAAATTAGTTTTCCGTGATAATAGCCACCTGCAACAGAAGAGAGAAGCAGCCTTGTCATTGCCACAGTAGAGGCAGCCCTCACAGTCCTCAGTCTCCTGCCCACCCTGCTCCTGCCCACCAGCCCTGGAACACACATGTCGTGCTGGCCATCTCACTGCAGCTCACAGACTACCAACCTAGAGAGGCCTTACCACCCACCTCACCCCAAGCCGACCGCAAGCCCCTCTTCCCCCATTGCACACCTCTCTTCCCGAGAACAGAACATTAAGACAGAATCTGCACAGGCTCCTCACTGGCCCTACCCCATATTCTGGTCCCCTCATTCCTGCACCTCTTGCCTCCCTTTCTCCACCAAACCACACCCAGCAACAGGTGAAAAGCCATCATTCCCCGCCCCCCCAAAAAATGAGTAAACAACAAAACGCTGACCCCTCCCCCCCCCTAAGCCCTGTGAGCTGCTCCCTCCCCTGGAGAGCCTCGGGCCCACCCAGACTGGCAAGGCAGAAGAACGTCACTTGACAGGACTTCCAGTAACATGCACCTGTCTGTGCAAGTGTATGCATACACAATGAGGCTTGAGGGAGCTGCCATCTTCCCACTGGGGCTCCCTGCTGGCCCCCAGCTCCACAGGTCTCTGCCCAACTCTCTGACTGCCTGGGGCACTCTCCCATGGTGGAGTGATGGAGGCGGAAGAGTGATGGCGGTGGAGGGGTGATGAGCAAGTGCCACCTGAAGCCATGTCTGCATGTAGACAAGCCAGCCAGCGAGGGATTAACTCTAGAGACAACGCTGGAGCACACCCGCACCACAAGCACTGAGAAAAGCCAAACTGGAAAAAGCGCAGGAGAAGGAAACAGGCGTTCAGCTCAGAGGATCAGGAGCACCCACGCACATTAGTGGGGACCACTAAGTGGGCTCCCCCCCACCCACCAACCTTCCTGGCCAATCCAGAGAGGCCATTCAGCAGCACCCGCAGCCGCTGGTCCCCAGCAGGAAGGCCTCCGCACGCAGTCACATACACTGAGGGGCTGGGGCAGAGCCACGAGCAGGGCCTGCAATTCTCCCAGCACCCAGATGCCTGCTTTCCACCGCAGAGCATCTATCGCAGGCGGTGCATCTGAGGGTGTGAGAGGCCGGGGCCGGGGGTGGGGGCGGGGGCAGCGGGAGGGAGGGGTCTCTCCTCTGGCTTCATTTCAAGGGTCCTGGCCAAGCCCTAGGACAGACACCACTGAGAGTGTCCGGCTCCAGAGGAGGGAGGCCTAGGAGAAGCACACCAGGGGCCACAGCAGTGCTGCCCCTGACCCACTGTCGGGGAGCTGAACCCGCACCTCCCTCCAGGGCCAGCACACCATCCAGTCAACATGATACCACCACGAGTCTCAGAACCAGGCACAGTGACTACTTCCACTTTATGATTTCAAAAAACCACTTTAGCTTCTCTGAGTCCCTCACCTTTCCATGTAAGTTTTAGAACCAATTTTTAGAATAAGCCTGTGTGCATCTACAGAACAGGAATTTAGGAATTTAAAGGAATAAAACCTCTAACACAAATCAACACTCGTGTGTCAGGAAGCCCACTTGAACTGTGAGCCTTGCAGGTCTGGAGCAGCACTGACAGAGCTCAGAGCAAATACGGGGTCAGCGGGCAGCTGACATGGGACCAGTCAGATGTGGACGTGGGAGAGGGGCTAAGGAGACTGGGAGGGAAGGGTCAGAACACTCAAAAGTCAGAGGAGCAAACGAGGAGGGAGCCAGAGTCTACGCATAAGAATCCACACAGGCCCAGACACTGAGGCCCGAGAGCCGTCCATCACGTGCGGCAGCTGAGGGTCCCTTGGAGATCCTGATGCAGCAGAGTCATTGGAGGATGGCAGTGTGGACAGCAGGGCCCTGAGCTGAGGAGGGGGACAGGCACCAGGAGGGGCACAACAAGTGCTAGGGGAAGGGGGAGGGTAGTGGCAAGGTGGGCAGCAGAGAAAGCCCTCGTCTCTGAAGGAACCCTCCCGAGGAGGAAGTGGACTGTCCCAGCCCAAGGACCAGGAACAGCAGGACACACAGGAGAGCAGACCAGATGCAGGAGAGCAGAGTGTCGGGGCTGGGCTGGGGAAGAAGAAACTTTTATCGTCAGTCAGAGCAGCTGGGGGATGGGGAGGTTCCTGCAGTCAAGCCCCACATCCCTCTTATATGGAAAACACTAAATCCACAAAGAATAAAAAACCTTTAAACCCAGGCATAACCCTACTTGCGAAAGAACACTGCTTGTTCTTAATGTCTCTTTAAGTTTGTTAAAAACACAGCGTGTATTTGATAAGTACGATCCACACAGGCTGTCCTGCAGCCCATCTTCTGCCCTGTGGTCTGGAACCCCACGCAAAGCCATCATCAAGTCTGATACCCTGTGGTAAAAATGACATGCCTTCTGCACTGTTTCCTCAGGACAGGGGATTCCCGAGCCAGCAGAGTCCCATGAGGCTAGTGACGTTTCTGCCAGCCTACCCACAAGGCTTGTGAGTGGCTTGTGGGTCACCCCACCCTTCCTCCCAGCAGCACAAGTCCTCTAGGGAAATCGCATACAGAACCCCATGGCAGGAAGACGCAAGCGGGCTGCTCCAGCCACCAGAAGTCAGGACCCAGGCCTAGAGAGCAGCCTGTCTGGCCACAGCTCTCCCCTAGGCTCCGGCTTCACCTGGAGGCTGCCTCTAGGGCTCAACTTGAGCCCTGGAGACTCGCTGACTGCCAGCTCCAAGGCCTATTCACAAACACCGGAGGCCACTGGGTGGCAGCATCCAACCTTGCCAAGCCCTGCGGGCCCCCATGTTTTATGCCCCACCAATACAACGTGCAGCTCTTGAGCTCAGAGGACACTGCACAGAGCAAGCACTTGGGAAATGACTTCCTTTTCCCTCAACAACGCACACGCTGGTCTTCCTCTTCCCCGTCTGCTCTCCCAGCTCTGACTCCACTGAGATAGGAGGCTGAGCAAACTTGATACTTGAGCAGTCCCTGAAGACAAAGAGGTGATATGAAGTGAAGTGAAAGTCGCTCAGTCGTGTCTGACTCTTTGCAACCCCATGGACCATACAGTCCATGGAATTCTCCAGGCCAGAATACTGGAGTGGGTAGCCATTCCCTTCTCCAGGGGATCTTCCCAACCCAGGGATTGAAGCTGAAGATGGAGACACATCAGCAAAACCAAACTGTGAGCAAACACCTCTAGGATTTGGAGGAAACCAGAACAAGCTCCAAATGTGTGCAGTCTACTTCCTGCACATCCAAACCAGAAAGAGCATCACTGACAAACAGGAGTTTCTCGGGTAAGGTCTCTTTGGAACACAGACACTGCCTCTTGTTCATCTAACTCAGAGCAAAGACTTACCTTCATAGGGAGTCATCTCAGGGCCTCGGACCACATAGTGCCTGAGGGAGGAGAGAAAATGAGTTGGCTTTGGGGATGGCATCACTCCAAGGTTGGGGTTTTTAGGGCCCACCTGAAACTAATACACTCACAGACATTCAACAGGTGACTAAACTCAGCCAGCTACACAGCTCCCTGCCTCTCCAACAGGATCAGAGGCTATGCCCTCCAAATTTTCTACAAAGTGCCTCTGAATCCACAACACAGTATACAAAAAGCTAACCCTCTCTGACCATTAACATCAACTGACAATTTAAAAACTCACTTGGACCTCCCTGGAGGTCCAGAGGTTCAAACTCGGCACTTCCAATGCAGGGGGTGCAGGTTTCAATCCTTGGTTAGGGAACTTAAGATCCCACATGCCATGCAATGTGGGGGCAAAAAACAAACAAAAAAAAAACCCCAAAATTCACAATTTATAGTTGAGATGTACTTGAAATCTGATGTTTTTTAGTGTGCCCAAATATCATGCAGTAGCTCACCAGGAAAAGCTGGAGACACGGAGAGACTGTGCCCCTGGCCCTGCCACCCTGGAAGACTCGGACGTGACCTCGAGAGCAGCTATCTTCAAGCAGGAGGGACAGGGACAGTTCGTGATGGTCACCAAAGGCCTCACACAGAGGGACCACAGCCCCATGGACTCTGCTCTCCACACAAATAAACAACACTTCATCTCTATGGAAAGAAGCATTGGAATTGCTCGATTTTTTTTTTTTGGCTGCTCTGTGTGATTGATGGGATCTTAGTTCCCTGACCAGGGACGGAATCCAGGCCTTTGGCAGTGAGAGCTGAGTCCTAACCACTGGACCATCAGGGAAGTCCTGAACTTACGAATCTTCAAAGAAAACAGAAAAGCACAAAGAAGAATACAGAACTAACCAGAAACACAAGACCAGACACAACTGCGCACACATGACTAACCACCTCTCCAAACACTACTTCCCACCAGGACGCTTTGACAACCCCTGCTCTCTACTGGCTGATAGGTCAGATTCAAAAAATACTGTCATCTTATGTCAGCAGACCAAGAACACACTGGGAAAGGTGGCCTTCAATTGGGGAATGTGGCCTTAATTTGTCACTGTTCCCAATTCCTGTGTCCAATCTGAGGACAACAGGAAGAGCTAGGCAAGCAGTGCTCTGAGAATGCCTGACAGACCCAGGGCAGCAGAGTGAGGAAGGCTGAGAGTGCAGACCTCTCCAGAAGAGTGCTCTCTTCTCCAGTGGCAGGGACAGACACCCCGGCTGGGAAGAGCACACACAGCAGGCCCAACACGGCCGTCCTCAGTGTCTGGAACTGGATGTCAGGGGGTCTCATCACCTTAACGGCACCTCGACCGTTTGGGCAAAAATGTGGTCAGTGCTGAAAGGAAGCCTACTGTCCTGGGAGTATGGAATACTAGGGGGCTCCAGGCGGAGGTTCCTGTGACCCACTCCCCCTGAAATCTCTGGTGCTCAGTCCCAAAGGGGCTTCCCTAAGGATGACCCGTCAGCATACAGCTTGTCACAGCTCGTGGCAAGGAAGGGAAGCCTGTGTCTGGTCTCCAATGGACTCTGCCTCGCACCTCTCCCTCTGCAGTGGGTCTTCCTGGTGAACAGTAGAACCTGGGACCTGACCCCCACTCAGGAGGGTTCCCCACACGACGAGGATGTCCCCTAGACTGCCACAGAGCTCATCTTCCATCTGCTAGCTACATCCTGGGGGGGCGAGTTCTGCTGTGACATTGATGTCTCCCACACACACCAAGGCTGGACTCTCTGAGACCCTCTGCCCACCTGCCAGCACTGACCCTTCTCTGCAAGCCAAGGAATGTGGATCCAAAATCCTTGAACACCTGTCCGACCTGGAAAAGACTTTTTATTAACTCAGATCTCTTTCTTCTAGGTCTAAAATTTTTTTACAGTATTTAAGATCAAAACATAAAATGTTAAATACCCTCCAAACAGAAAAAATGCTCTTTGATGTTTCAGCCCTACACTGTTTCTCACAAAATCACCAGCACACCTGATAAGGGCAGCGCCTCTGTGGCACGGCAAGTTCCATGAAATGCATGTCCACAGACACAGAGCAGGGTTCAGGACCCATCCCCCATCACAAACTTGCCAACGTAGGACAGGCCAGCTCACAGCATCAAGAAGCAAAGAACAGAGAAGGAGAATCAAGACAAGGAGCTTCTCCAACAGGCGTTGAGTCTGCAGGCCCCAAAGTCACCCCTAGGATGGACCCTCTCTCTGGCTCCAGCGTGCAGAGCTCAAAGACAGCCTGCCACATCCCAGGTTGCGGTCCATTGTGAAGACAACCAGAGAGCATCTGCAGGCCTCACGGTCCACTCACACCTGATGAGGGTACAGGAACCCCCTTCCCAAGCTAAGAGGGCCCCTCCGGCCCTAAGCCCGTCAAGGAGAAGCCAGGTGGCAGGTGGTACAGGGAAGGAGGTGGCAGAGCCTTACCACTCAAGGATGTTGGAAGGGAGGGGCTCGGCACAGATGTAAGGCACGGGGTCTTTCTTAATCCGGAGATAGTCCTGCTTCAGGCGCTGGGTCGCTGTCGTCGGTGCTCTCTTACCACTGTTGCTGCTCATCTGTGGAGACAAGTCTACACTGACACAGGACAGAGCAAGGCAGCCCCCACTGCCCACACCTCTGCCACCCAGAATCAAGGCCCCTGGGCCGCTCCAACTTGCCCGCCCTCTCAGACACCCATGAGCCTTGCAGAGTCTCCTTCCCCGTGTGTCCCAGCAGGTCCTTCGCCAATGTGACTTTTGTCAGATACAAAGGTTAAGAGAGACCCTGCAAACTCACCTGCATCCTTGAAGAACCTTGAGAGGGAGAAAGCCCTTGAATTCGACGGTCATGAGTGGAGGCGAGCTAAAGCCAGCCCCAGCCACCTGCCACGTGCGTGTCTCCCCCAGCGCTACACAGTGTGGTGCCATGTCCCTCCCAGAGCTCCTTGTTAAACGTTTCCCAGGACATTTACCACTGGCCACAGGGTGGTGGGAGGAACAAGGGAATTGAGGAAGAGCCTCTTTCTGGGACTGGAGAGAGAGAGGGGACCCCGGAGAGACCCAGACACACGTGCAGGACAGAAGAGGAAGCAGGAGCAGCTGGACAGGCAAAGGTTAGGAAGTGTGCTGTGACCAGGGCACAGTACCGGGCCACCGCAGGAGCCAAAGCACTGTGAATGGCAGCTGACGAGGCCGACCAGGGACTAGAGGCCAGGCCGTCAGGTGGCACCCTACAAAGTTTTTAGGCCCAAGTCTTAAGGCAAATCAGATCTTCCGTTAGAAAGGGCACTCTGGAGACCCAGCAGAGGATGACTGGGACAGACAAGATGGCACAGGACAGTTCTGAAGGCTGGGATGGGAGGGAGGCAGCAGCCATCATTCAAGGGAAGAGATCTGGCCTGGGTCAGGGGACCTGGGACACCTCAGCTCTGCTCCAGAGACAGGAAGGCGGGTCAGGGAAGTGGAAGACGGGCTCCCCACTCTCAGGGGCACCAGAACAGCTCCAGCTCCATCTACTTAACAAACTAGAACATCTCAGAGATGGAAATTAGGTGCATAAGCAAAAAAGTTCTTCTGCTAAAAATAAAGCAAGAAAGCCACTGGTGTAAAACGCGGTGGAGATGGAGGACACACAAGGTGTGCAGCACAGGATGGAAAGAAGAGAGGGGAGGCTGACTAGACAGGGCAGCAAGTGAGGAATCACTCTGCCCAACCTGTGTTTCCAGCCTGTCCCACCACAGCAGGACGTCAGCAGCCAAACCTCCATGCACACCTCCCAGCCAGTATCCACCTGGCACTGCCCCCCGCACCAGGCCGGGCCCCCCGCACCTCACTTGCACCTTCCCTCCCATCAGTCTCTGCTCACAGTGCCTCATCAGAGGCTATAGACTCCTGCCCAGTGCCCACGGGATCCGCCTCAGAGCACCCGCCCCTGCAGATGACAACCAGGGCCTGCTGTCTCACCGTACCCCCAGGGTGCCACAGAGGTCCCTCCACATGCCCAGCCCTGCTTCCTGCTCTGGGGTCCCTAGACCTCAGATACCCATATACCCCAACTCTCTCCATCCCACCACACCCCCGATGCAGGGACCACTACGCTGCCCATCAGTTATCACGAGACGTCCGACCAGCCTCTGGCTTCCAATCTCCCCCCATTTCAGTCCATCCTGTTCACTGAAGTCAACTGACCCTTCTCATCACACAGTTCAGGTCACAACCTTCAGGACTCACTCAGAACTGAGCAAATAAATGTCAACACCTCTGCCACCTGCCAAGTCCTCAGCCCCAGGCCACCCTCTATCCCCCAATTCGGACTCTCACAGCCCCCGACACTCCCACAGCCTGAGCCAACCCCGCCTCACCCCAACCACGTGGCCACACCCCAGCCCAGCCTCTACCAGAGGATGCCTTGCCAAGGCCCTGCCCAGTCCAATGCCCAACTCCCCTGGTCAAGTGCCTCCACATTCTGCCCTTTGCTGGCCTTCCTGCCACCCAGTTGCATATCGCACAGGTGCCACCAGGCCCCAGCAGACACTGCTGGCTGGGTTGCCCACTGCAGGTGGTTAGGGTCTAGCCTTATAGGGGAGCGCTCCCCCAGCACTACCCCCAAGTTCCAGCCAGAGACAGCAAGAGGGCCAAGTGGTTCGCCATGGCCAACATCTAGTAACAAACACCATGACAAATCAAAACCAAGACCACCACCCAGGACTTGTTTCCTTTAACTGTTCACCCTAAGTCTGACATTCTGCCACACACAAACCAATTCACTGGATAATTCAAACACACCTGTGCTTGAACTCAATTAAGTGGCCAACTTCAATGCTTCATGAAGGTTAGAGCACAGCCACACAAAACAAATAAAATAGATCCTGCCTGGGTCCTCACAAATGAACTTTCCTCTCCCTCTTGCTTTCGAAGTCAAAATCTTTAGAAGCCTACTTACAATTCAACTGCTCCGTTTATTAAAGGAAAGGGTTCCCTCGGCCTCACTCAGAGCACTGCCCTCAGGCCCCTCCAGGTGACAGGTGAGCCAGTTTCTCCCTCTTCCCCGGGCACACAGGGTGCATCTCGGGTGCTTCTACAGACCCCGAAGTTCATCTCAAGGCCCCTTTAGGCCAAGTCCCCACAGACAGAGCACAAGTGTTTCGGGAGACATTCAAAAATAAAACAAGCAGCACAGTCCACATACAATACTTCAGTGCAGACAGCTTGAAGGCCAGTAGCCTGAACCAACATCCCGGCAAGAGTCCCTTCAGTACCACGTGGACACAGACTCGCCCCTCACCCAGCACTGCCCGCCCAGGGACTCTGGCTCCTTTCTCTCCGCCCACAGACCTTGGTCTGACCCACCAGAGTGCATGTGACACCCCGGTGCCCAAGACTCGCATGGAAGTCTCTCCCTTCACCAGTGGGATTGCTTCACAGGCTGGGTGGAGGCCCGCTGCTGATGGGGGCCACCGCACCTGTCACTCCCGCACCTGCAGGGACCGGCTCGGCTAAGGTGTAGCAGATGACAGTGCACCAGTTCTAGGCACTGGCATCCAACTGTACCTGCAGAGAGGCTGGGCTTTTCAAGTAAGCAAGACCCTAAAGTTACACCGAGAGTCCCTCACCCAGAGAGAACAGAGCCCTGACCACTGCCCAGAGAACTCTCAGGCCCTCACTAACTCCCCGGGGGCTACCCCGGGACCTCTCAAAGCATTTCCGGGCCGGGGCGGCGTGAGTTTGAGAATGGATGTGAACTAAACACAGACCAGCTAAGTGGTGTTAACTGGGAAGGGGCTAGAAGCATACACCTGGCCAGGGGTGGACCGGGACAGGTAGCTGGCAGACGGGGAGAGCAGGCAGGCACAAGTGAGGAGCCACCCAGCATGGAGTTTCCCAGTCTGACCGCCCGAACTTTCTGTTTCCACCCCAGACGTTCATTGCTCGGCTGACTTAAGAGGCGGTATGGGGTCTTAACCGATCGAGATGAAGCGGCGGCGGCGGCGGGCTCAACGGCAGCCAACCCACCCCGACACCGATTCCCAAGATACGTTTACAAACCAAGCTCTACGCCGGCTCGTCCTGGCGGCGCCCGCAAGTGTGCCACTAACGGGAGCCTTTCCATGGGACGTCAGCCGTGTGGCCACCCGAATCCCCAAGTTGACCGGAGGGAGGACGACCCGGCCAGGAGCCCCGGGCGCCCCGCTGTAACAGACCTCGGGTTCCGCGCACAGAAGCTCCGGGCCGGGCTCCGCGAGCGCGGACGCGGGGAGGACGGACCGTGCGGAGGCCCCACGCTCCCCGCTCCGGCCGGCTCCGGGGGGGCGGACGCGCGGAAGAGGCCCCGGTGGAGGCCCGCGGCGCGCGCTCACCTCTCCCCGTCGCCGCGCGTGGGCCGCCGCCGCGCTCAGGCTCGCCGTGGTCGAGGCCGGAGCAGGGAGCGGAGAGTGGGGCCCGCGCCGCAGAGCTGCACCGCGCCGGGAGCGAGCCCACCCGACCGCAGCCGCTACCGCTACCGCCGCCGCCGCCGCTTTTGCTGCCGCCTCAGCTTCCAAGATGGCCGCCCACGGGGCGGGGCAAGCCCCGCTTCCAGTTCCGGGGCGCGGTTAGCTGAGGCGGCCGCTCTAGACGGCCCGGCGGAGGTAGCCTGCACCTCGCTGTCGCCTTTAGTCCCGGGAGGCAAAAGCAGTCAGCGCATGCGCACTGGCAACAGCGCCGAGGGGCGGAGAACAAGCTCAGAGCAGGTCTGACCCAATCAGCCACGGCTGGCCCTCCTGTGGGTCTCTCGGCCACATCGCTGTCAGCGGCCGCAGGGGTCCGGGGCACCCTGCACGTTCCCCTTCTCAAGATCCCCTGCCTTCCGCGGGAAAACAGGCTCAGTTAGAAGGTAACCCCCGAGATGCCGGGATGAGCCCCGCCCAAGTTCCCTGGTACCTCGACCCTCCCACCGCCCCCTTCCAAAGGATCGGCCCAGTCCCGCCTGGAGGACCCAGTTCTTGTGCCCACTTAACAGGGAAGCGCTGGAGGCAGTCCGCGTCCCCGGTGACCGAACCACCCGGGTCCCTGAGAATCGAATCCTGGTTGACCTTTTGTGACCGCAGTGATTGTGGAGCCAGGAGCCCCACTGGAACCTGTGCCAGGTGGGGTCCGGCGTAAGAATCCTGCCCAGCCCCTGCCCAGGGGGAGAGCTGTCCTCATAAAAAGAGTTGCACTGTTTCCCGACTGAATTTTCCGCCCAGCTCATGAATAGGGTCATTATGCAGCAGTGGACGCTGCACTGAGGCTCACTTCTGCTCCCACGGTCCCCTCCCAGGCCCTGGGGAAGGGGGAGGCAGAGCAGAGAGGTGGGCTGGCCAGGGAGGTCCCTGGGGAGCAGAGAGTATGTCTCTGGGACAGCACTGGGGCAACAGTTTGGAGCAGGTGAGGATGGCATATGGGTGGGGGTCTGGATAAGGGAGGGCTGGGCAGTGGGCAGGCCAGCACGCTCCTCACCACCCTTCCTAGTGAGTGGGGGCTGGGGTGTGCCCCCACAGGGCTGTGCCAGGGCAGATGCTGCACTGACTCTGAGACAGGCCTTGGTCATCAGCTGGGACCAATCCAGAGAGGCTGTCACTAGGTAGATCTGGGGTTCAAACCCCAAAGTCTCACCCTTGACCACAACCCTGACTACCTCTCAGTATACACCACCGGTCAATGGGGTTACTAACCACATGACGATTGACAGTGGACTCCAAGCTCCAATGGGTCCAGCCATGGCCACTGGCAGAGGGCAGGCAGGGGGCCATGATCGCCACCAAATCTGGCCTACCCAGGGCACCTCAGACACGATATGAGCAGTCACTGCAGGGCTGGCCCAGGCCCAGGGGCAGAAACAGAAGTGCCCATCGCCCCTCAGGCCAGCACCAGGCCAGCCAGCCTGGGGGAAGCAGCCTGCTACCTCCCCCTGCTGCAAGTGAGCTTCGCTGGCCCTGGCCCACCTTCCTCATGGGGAGGCTGGCGGTCCCAGGCCCCACCTCCTGCTGCCACACTCAGAAAACATCTCAGGCTTCCTTCTCTCCCCTGCCTCCTCTGGGCTCTGCCATCCCCACGCAGGGCGGGCCCAGCTGTTTTTAGCTTGAGGAGAGTTATGTAAGGGAGGCTGCCTTGAGGCACTGGGTGTTTCAAGCGCAGGTGTGAGAGAGACACAAGACCAGACCCTGAGCCCCACATGGGCAACATCACACAGTCAGCCCATCTCCAGTGGCCAGTACCTCAAGGAGCCCCCTCCTTGGTGTCTGGAACCCCTGCTTGACACTGCAGTCAGCACCTGGGGGACAGGGAGTTGCTGCAATAGCACTGAGGAGGCCTCCTACCTGTCAGTGGGCAGGGACTCCAGATGGCCCAGCCCCCCAGGCTGGGGAGGATGCCCCCAGCCCCCAGAATCTGGGATACATGCAGAGCCCATTGGCTCAGACTTCATGGCTGCTGCACCAGAATCCTTCCAGGGCCAACTCTTAGCTGTCTCTGAGGGTGGAGACACCCACGGGTGTGAAAGTGGAGCCCAGGGGACCCGTGAAGTGCTGGGTGCCCACAGTCTGGAAGGAGGCACATTGGTGTCCCTAGGTCCAGCTTCAGGGAAGGCCACTGCTTGAAGGCTCAATGGGGCCATGCTCAGCAGGCTGGGGCCAGCCGTCCCTCTGGGAAGAGGGTGGGGGACATAGGGCCCTAAATAATTTCTCTAATTCTCTCAACACACAGCTGTCAAGGAGCAGCCACATGAGCCCCTGTTTTGTGAGGAGCTGGAGATGCCCTGTCTGGTCCCAGCCAGCTCCTTCTGCTCCTCAAGGCGCTGGAGGAGCCTGGGGAGGCAGGAGAGGGGTCAGGCAGGGAAGGGAGGAGGGCGCTGCTAGCCTTGCTGCCACTGGACACAGTCTCTGTGTCTCTGACCTCCCAAAGGTGGGTTTTGGGGCCTTCTCAGAAGCAGGAAGATGGGGCTCTGACGCTGGCCCCGTGACATCAGTTGGTCTCACCTTTGAGTCTCGAGTCTCAAGAGGAAACTCAGCCCCACTTTGTGCTTGAGGAAACGGGCTCAGAGAGGTTGAGTAATTTGTTCAACGTCACACAGCTGATGACTGAGGAAGCTGTGATTCGCACTCACACCTAGATGAGTCCAGGGCCAGCTCTTCCCTGAGCGTGACTTCCCTCTCCAGAGGTCCCCAACTGCCATCTGCCCCTTCCAAAGGCAGGAGGCTGATGACCTCACCCCTCCTCAGAGCCAAGCCCCCACCAGAAGGGCCTAGCGAGGATGGGGGCTTCCTCCCTCATCTCAGCATCCATTTGGAGTGGTCCGTCAGGAACACAGAGCCTGTGTGGGAAGGGCAGAGGGCCAAGCGGAGGGTCTGGTCATTTGGGATGGCGAGGCCCTGGCCTCATGGGGCCCTGTTGAGTTCCCCGTGGGTCCTCCTGGGGGCTCTCCAGCCTTTCACACACTGTTTGGCCCCAGGCAAGCACTCTGGGGCCGAGGATTTCAGCCGTGCGGTGGTCGACTTGGACCCTGAGTGTGATGTGTGGTTGGTGCAGAATCTTTGGGCCTCCCGGGAGGCTGAGCTGTGGGCACCACCTGCCCACCCAGGCCCCAACTCACTCCCACAGTAGGTGCCTGTCCCAGGGGCTGGGCAGCCAGCACCAGGGGTCACCTGTGTTCTGGGAGTGGAGGCCCCTGCCCAGGGAACCCTGGCCACAAACACCTGTGGTTAGAGCTGGGCAAGTGGAGGTGAGCAAGCATTCTCCAAGGCCAGGCAGGAGGAGAGTGGACGGGGAGGGGGCCAGGCACCCCAGGGTCTACCAGTGTGGGGTCCCTCCTCACCCTCCAGAAACCTGAAGCCCCTCACCCACTGCCAGGGCCAGGCCCCCAGACCTCACTTCCAGAAACACGAGCAAGAGAGCCTTACTGAGGTGAAGGACCCTCATCCCTGTCCCAAAGGCTTCCCCTTCCGGGACCAGAGCAGGTGTGGCTGTCCCTGCCAGGCTCCGCCCCACCACCTCGCCCCAAGCCCAGCCTGTTATAAACAGGAGGCTGCTTGGCCTGCCTTGGGCCACAGCCCGCTTTGTCACCTGCTAGAACTGGCACCAGCACTACCACAGTCACCGCTGTTGCAGCCACCAGCACCAGAGAATGGATGCCCATGCACAGGGAGGGTGCAGCCTCGAGGTACCAGGGCAGTCGGGGTGGGCCGTCAGCAGGGTCTCCCCGGCTTGAGGTGGAGGGGTCGTGTCTCCCATGTTATCTGGAGCACAGGCACAGGAGGGGTGAGGGCAGAGGCTCCCATCTGCGCCTTTGTCATGCACCCCTTCTGAGAGAGGGCCTGCTGTGTGAGAGGAGTGTGTGTGTCTGTGCACAGCTGTGTGCGTGTGTGTACTGCATGAAAGGGTGACACACCCCCACTCCTGCTGTGGCCGAGGTGTCGGGGACCCCGCCCCCCATCTCAGGAAGCCACCCTCCTCCTGCCTGGCAGCCCCAGCCAGGGTGGGAGGTGGCCAGTCTGGAAACATGGTTACTGGGGTCAGAAAGAACCTTCTGGAGGCCCTTATCCCTCACCTGTATCATGAAACTGAAGGTCCTGCTGCCTTGTGTGGGCTCCATGTGGTCACGGGACACCTGTGTAGGCAGCACTCTGTGCCATAGGGGGCCAATCAGCAGCACCCATGCTGGCACATTCTCCTGGCCTGGCTGCCTCCACAAACCTGAGGCCTGGGCTGACCACCGTCATCTCTTACCTGGGCCCCAGGCAGCTGGTGGGCACTGGGTGTCCAGGCCAGCATGTGCTGGATGAGACACACCAGGTCCTTCCTTGGCTCAGTCCCCTCCTCAGGTATCAGCCCAGGCCCGGTTGCCTAGAGGGGCCAGAACCCAGGAGGCTACACCCCAGGTGCGAGAGACCTAATGATTCAGACCAAGATGGGGACACTCTGGAAAGCCCGTAGGAAGCCCAGGCAGTGACTCAGTGTGTGTCCTGGGCCAGCCAGCCTGACCTGGTCTGGGCCCCACGGTCCTATGCAGTGAGGGACCAAGGTCCTGGGATGCTGGAGCCTCTGGGTGGGAGTAGGGCCAAGCAGGCCTCAGGTCAACCTCCCTGGGCCCCTCAGGTCCCCACCATGTCTGGCCAGACTGCTGCCTACTTTTCTGGAAGCCTGAGGCCCACAGACGGAGCATCCCTGGACTCAGCTCTGT